TCTCTCACCTGTGCACGCTTTGCACTCAAACCAGTTCCCATGAAGCAAAAAGACTAAACCCAAGTGAAACATTCAATGACGCCTACACCCCACGCACAACTGGAAGCCTGGCAGGCCCTTCTGCTGGCCTCTCCTTCCAACAACAATAAAATAAACTATTGTTTGAAATCTTGGCAAAATCCACTCAGTACATTGCTGAGGTTGCTGGAGTAGGATCAGCTTACACCAAAGCCCAGATTGTTGCTGGGAGGAGAAGGATGCAGAAACCTATTGTGAAATCATAAAGGACTTGCTTGCAAAGATCTCGATGGTACTACACTACTCATTATTTCTTTGCTTTTAAATTCTCTGTAGAGACTTAAATATACAGGTAAGCAAGTCAAGAGTGATATTTTAATTTGAAGACTATTTCCCCAGTCCACCAACACTGTTATCAACCTCACCAGCCAGGGGCTTAAAACGGGAAACAAGCACGCACAAATATAAATTGCTAAGAATACAGTCCAGATGTGATTGCTTCCAGGGCTTTAACTCTGGATGGAAGTTACATGAAGGGATCAAGTGCAGGTCCTTGTGGTTCATCAAATGCAGACATAATCACCTCCTTAAATATGATGGAAGTGCAGATTTCAAGAAGGCAAACGGCAGATACCTGGGGACAGAGAGATTGCTTTCCAAAGACAGCAGGATCTCAAAAACTCAGGCTCACAGTTAGGAAGCCTATTAAGAACTTCCAAATATTGCTAACAGCCGACTATGGAAACATAATCGGTCAGATAACATTCAAGGGTGAGGTACTACATGCAATTGGAGACTGCATCCTGAGACACTTCAGCTGCAACGCAGTTCACAGTCTCTGTACGTGCAGGTCACTCAGGATGAAGGCCCATAATACACTCAATAGCTGATGACAAGGGACACAGACAATAGATCGTGGCAGAGTATGCCTGGGTGACTCAGCTCATCTTGAACGGGCCAGCAGATCTCTCCTGCTCCTGCTTCCTGCATCGCTGCACGTGGTGCCTGGGAGGAAAGCTGGGGCCCAGGCTAAGCGGCAGCGGGAACGCCTGCCTTGTGCAGATGGCCTTCTTGGTACCTGCACTGTTTCTAAAGCACGGAATTAAAACCCCCTATAGTCCCTCATCAACATATGAAAGTCTCGATACTATTACAGCTCTCTTCACCACTACAAATGTTGATTTAAAGAAGGACAAATACTATAGAAAATGAAAGGCATATGAATTGCAAATGAATGCTAAATGAAGCCATATGTAGACCTACCCTCTCCTTTAAGGAGAAAGGATAATTTCATCCAGCCACTACGTTAAAGTCAATAATAAGGGGTATAGCCTATATTATACTTTGTTCTTACCCAGAACACGGGCTTGGAAGTGTCATTAAATTTTCCTTCTTTCTTTCCTTCCCTTCTTTTAATTGGTCACACTAGACTTCTAGCGAATTGGATCAATCCATTAAAACTCTGTATTTTTTCGTAAAAAGCACCTCTGAGACTAATAACCTGCAATTCTGTGACAATAAGGGGCAATACTAATAGAGTATCACATGGTTTTAATTATACTCTCCACTACATGCATGCAAAACTCCCTGTGTCAAATGATACCAAGCCAGCAATCGCTCTGAAGAAATCAGTTTCTTCTTATGTAAACACATGTTTCTGAAAGGAATGGTTATAATCCAGCCACACATTTGCAAATCCTGATTTCCCTTCATAGCACAAATACTCTGAATTGTTGCTTTTAGAAAACACTGCAGCTCAGTAATCATAGCAGCTCTGGAGCTGCTGAGTATATTTCCATGTCTGCGTCTGGACTGCTCCCACTTATGCTAGGACATGTCAAAAGAAAGTCCACCTAAATCAATGCAAAACTCTTATTTTAGTCTTAACTATTGCCTCATAGTTGTTCTTGCCTGATATAGCTGATACTATGTTTGACATAGGCCTGAGATGCAAAATCAAAGATGACCCTAAAACGTAACTGTGAAAAATCAGTGTTTTATTCTGTGATTTTTTCCAGCCATGTTTTGAAAGACGTGTCAAGAGCAGCTGAAGTGGCCACGTTCACGTTTGAGCTACACGCCGCGGAAACAGAGGGAAATCCTTCCATTGACACAGATATGAAATCTATCTGGCTCGCTTGCGCGTGCAGTTTGATACGCCGTGAAAAATAGATGTCATTTGCTCGGAGGATGTCTTTACTGCGCCTTACCGCGCTGCAGACTGATTCATTACTATTGCCTTTTCCCAGGGCTCTCACCCGCATAAAAACGAAACACACTTTAAAGGCTTGACTCCAAATTGCAGTACGTCCTTCCTCCTCCTTCGTGTCACATCCATCTCCCTCAACTCTTACCTTTTGCCTCCACATGCCCTAACACCCTGCGACCCCAAACTGCATTCGTTTCCTGCGGGAAACCCCTCGTGTTTCTCTACACATCCCTTCAGCACAAAAGTCATTCAGACAGCAAAAACGGGCTGCAGCTGCAAGAGCAGCGGGAACCAGAGCTACCGAGGATTAGGCAGATGAAGTAGGAGAAATTAAGCGGCAGATGGAGAAAAAGAAATAATTCTAGAGCGGTTTGTCCGAAAGGATTCAGGCCCTGCCGCTGCACTGAGGCAGCTTTGTGGGTCAGGCAGACATCAAGCCAGCAGGAAGCAGCTTGAGACAAAAATTCATCACCCAGATTGTCATCAAAAAGTAACAGGTTTTCGTTCCTCTCACCTCTGGCTACGCTCAGACCAGCCTCATAGCAAGAGCAGCTCTATCACATGGACTATCCAAGTCTCATAAAAGCAGCAGTTTATCCAAATAAATGTTAAAAAACAATACCACCACCACCACAGTGTGGTGGCCTCCTATTCCGAATTCCTTCCATTGCTGACTTAAGGCCACGTTCTGCTCTTACTTCAAACGGAATAAATCCTGAGCAACTCCACTGAAGGCCTAGGACATTTTGGCATTTTCATTGCGTTTTCCCTGTCTGTTACTATTAAGAGTTTGGTCCCCTAACCCCATGGCAACTTTTACATTTCAAAAACAACAGTTGCATTTTCATTCACTTACAGGCATGGCTATGTTCAAACACGTCACTCAGAAGCAAATGTAATTAAAACAAGCAAACAATGAAAGTCTTTTCCTTTCATGCTTAGTATAATCAGCAGAAGTTTTTTCTCTGAAGGAAAATAAGGACTTTTTCTGAAAAAATTCACTGCAGTGTTATCATTTCCTCCCCCCAGACTCTCCACTCAAAATAGCATTTTGCATATGTAAGCGTACACACATGCGGATGGAGCAGTTTCTACTCAGCAAATCAAGTCCTTAACAAAGCATAATTTTAGACAGAAATGGGGAAATATGCCAATAGAATTTTAATGAAAAACTTTTCCTATTTTTTTGATCAGCTCTAATGATAATATAAGGCATGAAGGATAACAAGGAATAGGAATAGCTCAGCATTTTAGCAGATAATGCCTGCATGGATAATTATTATGCTTCATTTCTAAAGCTTCAATTCCTATTCTGTTTCATTCTTGTTCCCATAATACATGACATTCTTCCTTTCTTCTTGGCCCCCTTAAATAAGGGACAACTGGCATACTCTTAATTTAGCTGAACTTAACTTGCTTGGAAAAAGCGTATGCCATTTCACTTAAGCTTTTTCACTGTCTTCAATAAAACTTTTTATAAAAGTGAGATCTGAGCATTGTATTTCAGCCGAGATTTTTGCCACCAGGTGAAGTTTGTACATTTCTTATAGCCTTACTTTAAAATGAGTCAGTATGTCAGGATCGCTCTCCTTTTTCATTTTTAACTCTCTCCAGGATACCAACTAATTGTTTTTCAAATGACCTCAGTGTTTTGGCTCCAACTCTACAAGTCCGTCTCCAAGGCTATCCTTCACAGCTATGAGTTTTCTGACATCTGTGTTAAATTTTATCACAGAATTACTACACCGTTGCGTCCTCCTGACCTAGTTCAGTATACACAGTGCTAATTATAAGGCTCCCCCTAACTAAAAGGGACTACTGTACCACATATTTAAATAACGCTTATATTCCTGTTGTGACAAATGCGGCAATGCTCACAATGCTTTAATATTAAGGTACAAATTATTATAACGAAGCTGAATGATCAGAACATCTTTTTGTACAAGTTTGAAAATACTTTTCCAGACTTTTTAAGCAAACTTTCATCATGGAGCTATGCCAGTCATTGTTTTGGCAGGCTTTACTGGTTATCTTTTAGAAGAAATTCTGTGATAATTGTGTAGTCTGACTTTACTGACTGACTTTTAACTGAAGCTTCTGAGATTGCCTTACTCTACTTATCTGAGATGCGGCTTTCTTTCCGTTCTTTTATAGGTGTGAAAACGTCAATAGCTTCCTTATTCTTCAGCGCCAAATGACAATTTCCGTTGCATGACGTTCAGAGATCTCTCTGCCTGAGACGACACGTGATGCCTAGCTGCAGCGCACCTACAATTTTTACTGCCGCCCTTTAACTATAGGTTTATGTGTTGGTGTTGTTCATGCTTATGCCAGCTTTTGAACTGTGTATTTAAGTTACTTCTGCAAGATGTTCTCTATTACGTATCTGTAAACCATTTTGTACGCTTACCTGACCCCAGAAATAAGGTAATCCAGTGGCTGACTAAGTACTGGAATGATACAAGAGGGCTATCGAGATGAATTCGAAGATGGCAACTTAGCCACTTACAGGAACCACAGACCATCTTATTTACAGCTGATTGTTCATTCATCGCAACCTGAATATACTTGATACCAATTCACACTGCCTCTCCCTCCTCATACCGCCACAGTCGGCCCTTTATCATATGAAAACTAGTCTTACCTGGCTCCCGATGTGCTGTCATTCTCCAGCTGTCGGATGAGAAGCTTAGCTATGGCAGTGAAACTGTTGCTCATGCGGTAGATATCTCTGCTCTGGGTGCCCAAGATGCCGGAGAAGGTGTCAGTGAGATTCTTGATCTCCAGCAAAACAACGTGGTGAAACGAGTGCTCCATACTGGCCAGCTGGTTCACCAAATGCATCAGACATATTCTGGCTTGCTCCTAGACAACGCAGGGACATAAAAACAATTTTAAACAAATGCATTCCGTGTTGGTTTGTGCAAGGGTAATTTGTGTGTACGCTGCTGATTAAAACACTGCCATTAGGGAATAACAGCTATCTTGCAACAACTAGGAAAAAGACAACTGCATCAAGTACAGTGTTTATTTTTGTGTACTATTGACTTTAAATTTCTCGCTCTTTCTATTAGCTAACCTGGCCTAGCTTTGAATACACCCTGTCTGCTACTCAAACCTAGAGACAGAGACCATAGACACTTTGAGGGCCCTGCGTTGCTCTAAGGGCACTGTATCAGCCTGGTTCAGCAATTAGGGCACCAGCAGCAGACCAGATCCCACTTTCGTCTTTGTCTCTGATAGGCCTTATCAAAGCCTGGCCAAGCTAGTTCACCTGTCTATACCTCAGTTTCCCTTGCCCTGTCTGTGTTATATCTTGTGCTGTTCGTGACGAGTAGACTCTCTCACAGTGGTCCAAGGTCTCACACATGCTGCCCTAGTCACAAATTCTCTCCTTCCTAGAGCCTTTCTCCTCATATTTATAACTTACCTGCTGCACATAAAGTTCTCCGAGCCATCAGCACTGACACAAGCACGTTACAACGTGCCACGAGAGCTCACCTCAGCCCTGAGAAGTCTCTGGGGCTCGGGTCCGCACTGGCTTGTGGAAATCTGCATCTCACAAATGACAGTATCTGAGTTTTTTAGTCTGCGTTACAGCCTCATTGTATTAATAGGCTTATTTCCAGATTTTTGCTTTGTCCACGTTACCCTCCACACCATGGGTGCAAATAATCATAGGTTAGCAGGCACTTACAGCGAATTCTGCATACGCCACTCACTGTCACGAGTAGCTAGTTGAGAAGTTTTAAGCGAACACCTCGTGTTCAGAACAGAGTTTCCCAGTCGCCACTTCCCTTTCGGATCCGTTTGGTGCGTTGCCTAAGAGCTTGTCTTCACTGGTGCTACCCAGACTCACCCCGGCTCCTTCTGACTCAACGTCACACAGACGGCAGCGGCCACCCCGCAGAGCCACGTGCGCCGGGGTGGTCGTCAGCCTTGCCTTCGCCGTGCCACTCACACGGCTTCAGCGCCTTCTCCACGCTCAGGGCCTAATGGCTTGCTGTTCAAGTACCTCGTCAACCACCGAGAGCCTGTGTTTTCATAGCAGCTCATTTAAGAGCAACACTCAGATTAGAACCATGACTAACGCCGCAACAAAGAGAAATTTCGCACGAGATTTCATTTCAAGATCTCATCACGCTTGATAAGCTGCTGACAGTTATATCAATCATTGCCAGCGTATCGCGAGTCCGACCTGTCCACTGCAGGCAAAAAGCGTTGCTAGCCAATTTATCAGTGAGATCACGTCCCCCACAAGTTAGGATTAAAGCGGTTGTTTCAGATGGTAACATAAAAAATTCAAATCAAAGATACCTTATCATCTCTTGCTGGCGAGCGCGAACAACTCCAGCTCCAACTATTCGCGTGTGTATGTGAATAAATTCAGATACTAAAATACAAACTCTGAAGTAAGGAAACCTACTGGCGTTCCTTTGTTTTCTTATAATTGCCCTAAGTGTATTAGATTCCCCAAACCGAAAAATGTCAAAGTGGGAAAAGTAGCAGACAAAGAAGGGATCAACTCAGTAGCTCCTAGCAGATCCTCCACAGGTGCAAACGGGCACGGCTCACTGAGGGCAATCTGTTCGGCTCGCAGCAGCGGGTTACAAAAATAAGGCAAGCTTTTGCTTTTAGGACCTCTACCGGAACGCAAGCAAAGGCATTTTAGGGAAACCAAAAATTCTCTCCATCCCGCAAGCTAGCGGAGAAGGAGGAGAAGTTATGTGCCAGGGCAATAGCGTTATTATCTGTATTCTTCTGGGACCATGTAGCAGGAGAGAAAAAAAAAAAAAGCTGAAAGTTTAATTCCAAGTACAGCTGGGCCATAAAACACACTGGGGAGTTTAGCAGGACACTGCCTAAATATCACAAGCGAGACATTTTTTAAAGAAAAAGTCAACTTATTTCAAACAAAAGAAGAACTGCTGTGCTGTGCCATGACAAAGATAAATGAGAAAAGAATATCAGACAAATTGCTTCCCTTTAGCCATATGGGGAAAAACTACAGATACATCTATGTTTGGGATGGGGTAGTGTGATGGAACAATCTTTTTTCTCAATGGCTTGAAGGAGCTTGACTTTCTGGTACATATTCAATAGTTTATTTGGGAGACATTCCACCCTCCAAGAGATAAACACAGGCTCAATTAACATTTAAAACACATTTTTGTTTCCTAAACAAACTGTGCAGCAGACGTAACTGGAAGAGAAGTTTTGACCAGTTTCATGTCGCTTTGATCCAGCTGGAATGTCTCCAGCCATGCTGAAATGCTGCTACTCGCCTGGAGTGAGGTAAAAGAACAATAAACTCTAGCCAGTAATATAATATGTAACTGTTCTACAAAACAAAATTATAGCAAAATAGCTCAACATGAAAGCCATTATTATCTCTGCCACAATTTTTATCCCAAAAAATTCAGAAAGCCTATCTGGATATACACAACCCACTACTATTTTAAGAATGCTTATGTTGTGTATTCATATAGTCTATCATAAGCATCTCTTGCGTTTTATGGTATTACTTTATCTGCCAGTAGGTGAAGATTTAAAATATGGGTAACAAGGTAGGGCAAAATATTTTGCTTTGTCTCAAAATCAGGCTCAGGAGACTATAAAAGAGGTCAGAAGGATTTCAGAAGAAACTCCAATTTCCAATTGTTTCAAAACATGCAGCTATGGAAAAAAAAATGTTAAAATGCCCATTTGACCTATGCCCCATGATGGTGTTTTGCTTAGCACAAATTTATGATTAAGGGATAAGTTCTTATTTCAGCTTCACCCATGAGACTCTCACTGACATCAACAGAAGTGGCGTGTATAAACAAGACAGCAACCTTTAAAATAAAGGGATGTATTTTCAGCCAAATCTCTCCTCTCTCTAGGGGTTCTGTCTGAACGGCCAAGGTGGAGAATGCATTTTAGTACGAGCACAAGAGATTGCTTCTAGAAGCCAGCAGAAACTATTTTCTGCTCATATCTGCAATCTCTATTAAAAGGGGCCAACCCTCCTCCATCCCGACCACCTCTTTTCCCCAAGTAAACCTGCCTGTAAAATAAAACACGAATAAATAAAATTCCAGTGCTACCATTATCGTTTCACTTCTCACTTATTTTGTTTGGCTTGAAAGGAGGTTCCCGATGTTGACTCATGTCTATAAGCAACAGCTAACAGCGTACGTATAGCACAGCTCCACTAGAGTAGCAGAAAGAGGGGGGGAAAAGCAGCAACAGGCATTTTCAGGAAGGCATCACCATAGTGGGCTGTGAGATAAGAGACAATCCTCAGCGCACGTATGTGGGCAAGGGCATTTTGCTGCTCACATGCTTCTATCGGACCTGATTTAAAAAAAAAAAAAAAAAAGAACTGGTTGCAATAATGTTTGTGGCTAAACAGTTACACTTAGATCAGAGTATTATTTTAGTTCTTTTTGCAAGTGGACTAATCACTCACATGCTGAACCATTAAGAACTATCTGGCTTTTACGACACCAAATGTGTTTCTGCTCATTTTAAGGCTAGCTGACGGTCCGCACAGCGGCGAGCCGTGCTGTACATGTCAGTGGGATCCATGGAGCATTCAGGGAGGCTTTTCCGGTCTTTTCAAGAAGCCTTATCGATACACGAGGCATGGGAGGACCTGCAGGCACCACCTGCCTCTTGGCTTATTATACGGTGGGGGCAAAACCTGCAGAAGGAACCGCTAGAGTAAAGCGGACAAAACCCTCGCAAGGGGAAAGGAGGGCTATCTGGGTCCGGTTTGTTACCGGGCACGCCAGCGCGGCAGGGGCTCAGGGGTCGCGGTGCCCAGCCTCCTGCACGCCCAGGCGAGCGCGGACCAACGAACGTCCCTCAAAAGCAGTTCCACGCGCCCTCAACAAAACCGTCGGCCACAAAACATTCAAGCTCCCCAAAACAAACCAAAAAGGCCTTTGGGGCGAAAGACCAAAAGTCACGACCAGAAGCTGCCAAACGCAGAGAGAAAGCCAGGGAAAGACCGTAAACGGTAACGTCCGTGAAAGAGCAGGGAACGCGTTATGTGAAAACGCCCCAGCGAGCCAGGGGAGCAGAACGTGTCCCGCGCTGCCGAAGGGGCACGAAGGCCCCACGAACCGGCGGGCGGCAGGCGCACGCGGCCAGGTGCAGAAACAGACCCCTCTGCTTAGCCGAGCAAGTCGCAGCCGCTTAGACGCTTCCGTCGGGGCAGACCCCCCGTTACTTGGCTATCTTTTTTCAGGAAGCAAAACGCGGCAGGGAAGGAGCCATTTGTCTCGCGCCGGAAAGTTCACCTTGGCCACCCTTTTCATGCTGCTTTTATAAATGTCTTTCAGTACCCAGTGGGAGGCCTCGCGGATGTCACCGAAACGAAACCCGCCACAAACAAATCAAATCCACGTCGTCCCCGCGCACAAGCAACGCTCCCAGCAGCAGAGCCGCGCTGTAACGGCAGCGGGTTACAGCCCGCTAGAAAAATAGCGCACGTGACACAGGGCATAAGGCCACTTACTAAACACGAGAGATAAATTAGAAAGAAATTATCCACTGCAGGTTTACAGGCTGTGCGTGTGCAAAACTCGGTAGCTCTACGGGTCTGCACAAACCAGCAGATTAAAAAAAACATAGGAATAAAGCGTTCGGCAAGCCATTTCTCTGTAAACTACTTTACTGTGGTCCGTTTTTTCCAGCAATATATGAAACACAACGTACGTCCAGTTAGTTGCTTGCTTACGCTTACTGTGGGTATAAATCAACAAAATATATATACATAAATGTAAAATAAGTTCTGTCAATTTTAAGTAGCAGAACGCAGCAGAAAAGGGGCCTCAGGGATGCTCACACGTGAGAAGCCAGTTCAACATGCTAAATATATATAATCTCAATTAAATCTTTGAGTTCTAATCCCAGCTGCGCTCATAGTGGGATTAATTGGCTCTGGGTGGGCTGTAAAGCTTGTAGGAGATGCTAACTCTGCAGTGCCAAACAGAGACACAGGCTCCCTCCGCTGCAGTTGTTGTGAAAGGTAAATTTTGCTAGGATGAAGTAAGCAAGCCAAGAGACAACAGCAAACTTCGTCTGACTCACTGTCTCCACCATATTTTTTTTGATTTTTGTTTTTTGGGTTTTTTTTAAACATCAACAGAAACAACCAAATCAAAGGCTTTCAATTCTTATAAGATTCATTTTAAATGAACATAAAGCTCAAGATCAGTGGAAATAGCAAGCGCAGTGTCTTCCCGTGCTGCATCCACCAGTGATCAGACCCCTGCTGCCCAACACCATGGCCCTACGTACTCAAAATTAACTGCCAAAGGAGAAACGACTGCTCTTATTGCAACAAGTGAAATCAAACGGAAGTGATGTCTATTTGCACATTTATCTCTATCCTTTATTTGTTCAAAAAGGCATTCTTAGCATGACCTGTCCTGAATAATCTATTTTTACATATATGCTCTCTCCTGCTCCCTCAACAGGTAGAGGTACAATTTAAAACAACTATCAACTCGTTTTCAGACACGGTTACAGTGTCCATATAGCTTCACATGCAGGCAGGACTAATGCTGGGTGCAAGCGATGTTTTCAGTTCCTATGGTTTTGTAGGGATTTGGCAACTCCTCTGTGACGTTCATCTGTGCCAGCGAACTGGTGCGCAGAGGAACTCGCCTCCCGACCTCGAACTCCTGCACCCCAGCCCCAAAGGCCACAGCTCGGATCCTCCCTGCCTCTTCTCGGGCTCCCCCACTCCACAGTCTCCCAGTTTAAATTAGTGCAACTATCTAACCTAAGAGCATTGCGGAGACAATTCTGAATCATTAAAATAGCCGTGCAAAGGAATATTTTCCCTTAAGCTTCCCTAAAGGACGTCTCTTCTATCTTTAGCAGCACATAACTTGGCATAACACAACCTGATGCCACACGATGAGTTTGTCTGAGGTGCATACACCAGGGTAGGTGATACGTTGCACGTGAGTCTCTCTGCGTCAAGTCAAGCCAGCTGCGCTGCGCCTTTGCGCGACGGCACATCATTTATCAGGGAGTTCATAGTCCCTCTTCAAGTTCTCCAGCGGTTCTTCCTAATCGAACAGGTAAGTTGCTTGAACGCGCTGACCGCTGTCAGCGAGCTGCACGGCGCGTGCAGGACATAACCCCGCCACGACCCTGCACAATACCAGAGACGTTCAGGGGACTAACTTTGGATGGGGGCCAAAAGAAACTATTTTCTCTGGAAAAAGAAATCTCTCTGGAGAGTCTCTGATGACACTATCGTTGTTGAGAGCACATTATCATCTGTACCTCGACAACTGTAAATAAGAGCAACTGTCATCTTAAAGGAAGACGATGAACTTGTGGAGGGTTTTCTCCTGCACAGCAAAACTATGCCATTTTTCTCCCCTCCTCCCTTTAAATTGGCTTCTATGGGAGTCAAAGGAGTAGGCAGGACAACCAAAAGGTCTGATTTGGAAAGGCAAAAGCCTTCAGTAAAATATTTACCCAGTAACTACTCCATAACCCTTATCTGATAAGTTGGAAAATTCAAGATTTAAAATTTAAGATGGAATTATCTTAATGGCTGAATAATAGACTGCGTCATAAATTTATGGTTGGTATTCACTAAAGAATACGCTGGAAACTCGAACCCTGTGACGAAGCATACATGAGCTCACGTAAGAATATATGCGCAAAATCTAATAACGACACCTGGCAGTTGTGCCGTCCGTTTCCGACGGCTCCCCTTCAGCCGCCTGCAGGGACCCGCTGCCCCTTTACCGTGCCTTGCTGCCGAGCTAGGAAGCCAGTCACTAGCTAATGGAGAATGAACTCCCCTATATTTAGCCACAGGGCAAATAATTTCCCTGCTAGCGGTGAAATTGCTCAAACATTTTCTGAATCCTGCAGCCTGTCTATACGCGGAGCCCATGAGAATGCAGGAGGACAGGAGGGTAAAATAAGCGATGATCTCTAAGCAAAGAAAGAAAATCACCTACAGGGGAAAAGAAGAGGAAAGGGAACGGGGAAGGGAGATGGGAAACGGGAAGCGAAGCAAAGCAAGGCGAAGAATGAATGGTGTTTCCTCAGGGACAAAACTTTCTTGTATTGTAACATCAATAGGCAGTTTCTGAAAATAAAATTTAATAAAGTCTTTAAAAACATTTTAGATAGCCAATGAGCCAAATTCTCATTTATATACAGTACCAATTTCTATAGTCTTTCTGCAGACAAACTCCAGTCAACTCAAGGTAAGTTTTGCCTGAGGAATCACTGAAAGGACAAGGAAACTGTAGGATTCAGCTCTTTGCTGAAATAAATCATCCAAGTTACTGTGCTATAGGCATCACCGTCACACTTAAGTAAAGGTTTATGTTCATTACATACCATTAATTTTTCTAGATAATAATCAAGTTCTGCCACAGAATGAAAAGTATGAGTAATTTACTTTGAATTCAGCAGAACGTTATTTTGACTTTACAGGCCAGTGATTTGGGGCTAAAGTAAAATGCCTATTAATAGTGGTGAAAGACTCATAAGCATACAGTCAAGAAAAAAAAAAATCTCATTAGATGTATTGATGACACGTCAGGATTTTTAATCAGCTTGGTGTCCTCAGGACACCCAAGGTTTTAGGCAATAAGGTCCTCTGTAGGCGCCCGGCGTCAACCGCACACGGGTTGCGGGCAATAAGAAGGGCTTGGGTAGCCCACTGACTAGAAGTCACTTGACAGTCAAGCTAAAGAGAGATGATGACACAGATGCCACGAAGGGACTGAACATCCTGCCGCGTTCGCCTCCGCCAAGCCACAGCCTGCCGCGATTTCAGCATTTCAAAGAGCTGCCGTAGGACAGACGGAGCGGCGGCCCCCCCTTTTGTGC